AATAGTACGCAGCCATAGAAAGGAATGGTCCATCCATACAATGGAATAGTACGCAGCCATAGAAAGGAATGGTCCATCCATACAATGGAATAGTATGCAGCCATAGAAAGGAATGGTCCATCCATACAATGGAAGCGTATGCAGCCATAGAAAGGAATGGAGGCCTTCTATAGGCTCCCACATGGACGAACCTTCTGCTGAGAGAAAGGACACCCCATGTTGTGTGAATCCATTTACATGAAGTGCCGACAGTAGACAAATCTGGAGAAACAGCAAACAGATCAGTGGTTACTGGGCCAGGGGATCAGACAATGGGGAAATGCTATGTAGCTGGATGTGGGGGTTTCCACAGTCAGGCACTGGGTAGAGCGGTGCCAACACAACACTGTGTGCTGAGTCCCTCGAAGGTTGCCAGGTGTCAGGTGTGTGCTGTGTGTTTCACAACAATAAATGGGCATGTGGCACACCGCCAGGCCGCAGCTCCCAGGGGCGCACCTTTGGGACTCAATCATCCTCATGCTTTTCCTGTTTCTCTTTCCTTTAAAAGGGAAAAAACTAGGATTTACCATAGACAACGGGAAGCTCCACAACGTGTCCCTGGGCCAGGGACAAGAGGTGGTGGCCGAGAACGCACTGGACGTGGCCGCGGAGCAAGGGCACTGGGTCATCCTGCAGGTACAGGGCCCCGGGCGCAGGGCAAGGCCGTGCTGGGAACTCAATTTTGCCCCCTTGGCAAGGAGCCCAGAGGCCTACAGAAATCAGGCTGCGGGCTGTCTTAGTCTGAGTTCTCATGAGTGACACAGCCAGGGAAACTTACCAGACAGTTACTTCAAGGGAGGCTCACGTGACTGTGGGGGCTGGCCCGTCCCAAACCCCTAGGTCACGCGGCAGGTCAGACATTCCTGCAGGCTTGCGACTCAAGGTCCGTGGGTCAGAGGACAGGAAGTGCAGAGTGGAAGGAACTCTGCTAAAATACCTGTTTATAGTCTGGAGGCAGACCACCCCCTAGGAACCGCTTACACGGACTGACATTACATTACGGAGTGTGACGGCATTAGGTTACGCCTGGAACAGCATCTGGTCCAGTGTTTGGCCGGACCACTGGGAACCTCAGCTTGACACACACAGTGAGCCATGGCAGGGACTCGTGTTCAGAAATGTGGCTGAGAACCCCACAGCCACTCAGAACCGGGACGGCTGTCACGTGCCCAGGGTTCCATCGGCGCCTGAGTGCATGTGCTGTGTG